CTTCTTCTTTAAGACAACAGAAGTGAAACCAGTACTTCTATTCTCTAATCCATGTTATTTTTTAGTTTGTTTTCTCCTTCTGTTTTGATCTGCCACTCATTCACTCCTCATTCTTCTCCCCTGTCTTTCTTGGAGTACTGAAGGTGTGCGGACCCGACACTGGGGGAATCACATGCCTCATTTCTGACTCCACAGCTGACCCCATTTTCCTCTATTTTCCCAAATGGGAGATTGAGTTTAAAGAGAGTGACCGATGGCTGAACTGTCCAGAGGTCTAGCCTCAGTGCCAGGTGCAGGCAGAGTTGGTGTGGGTTGCACGCTGTGCTCTTTCCAGGTACCAAACCAACTCTCAGCATCGGTTTATTTCTCTGTTCTCTCTTAGATATTTCCGGATTGTTAAATTATCTTCTACTTTTTTTTGTAAATTGAATACCCTGTTTTTTTCCTTCTGTTTGTTATCCTATATATTATAACACATACGTATAACTCACTAGTCTAAAATTAGTCTCTTTACTTTTCTCCCAAAGATAAGAGCCTTAGGATACCAATAATCCCTTATAAACTATAATCCCTGGCTATTTTTGTTGTCCCTTTTAATTCTGCCTTTTTTACTGAAAAATCTTGGTTTATATAGGCAATGTTTGCTTTGATTTGTCACATATTCATTTCATACATGTAAGTCTTCCATTTGGGATCACTTTCCTTCTGTCTGGAGTATAACACTTGAATGTCCTTTGGTGATGCTCTTAGGATTTGCTTCTCTAACATGTCTATACTTTACCTCTTTTTGAGAGAGAGTTTTACTGGGTATAAAATCCTAGGTTCATAGTTACTTTCTGACTTCTGAGATTCCTATGGAGTCTGTCAGACCATGGCTCCTTCAAAGGACATCTGTCCCCTTCTCCCAGTGCCTTTAGAAGATATGCCTCGTCACTGATTCTATACAGTATCACTATTGCATGTTGAGATAGACTTATTTTGATGTATCTTTTTTTAAGAGAGAGAGAGAGAGAGAGAGAGAGAGAGAGATTTTAATATTTATTTTTTAGTTTTTGGTGGACACAACACCTTTATTTTATTTTTATGTGGTGCTGAGGATAGAACCCAGTGCCCTGCGCGTACCAGGCAAGCGCGCTACCACTTGAGCCACATCCCCAGCCCCTATTTTGATGTATCTCATTCTAGATATACTCAGATGCTTGCCTTTGTAGCTTTCATCAGCTCTGCAAGCTCCCCAGCCTTTACTGTCTCACCAGATATTGCTTCTGCCCCCCTCTCCCACTTTTCTCCCTCTGGACCTGCTCCTATTCATAGGAGAGACTGGCCTGCTGCCTGCATGCCTGTTTATTTATTTATTTTTCTTCTTCCTAAGTTTCTGTGCTACATTCTGGGTAACTTCTTTTGGTCTTTCTTTCAGTTATTTCAGAATACATTTTTAGTTATATCTAACTTGTTTTGGTTTTTTTTGAGTTTTAAATTTTAGCAGATATATAATTTTGTTTATTGAGGTTCTAAACATTATTCTATTTTTTATTTTTAAACTATTTTTTATTTTTAAGACAGAATAAACACAATTGTTTTGTATTTCAAATAGAGCCATCTCTCTGTATCTGCAGAGACTAATTCCCGGTCCCACATAGGAAAATCTGCAGATGCTCAGATCCCTTACAAAAATGGCAGAGTCTTTGCATGTAACTTACACAGACCTCCCTCTGTACTTTAAATAGTCTCTATGTTCCTTATAAAACCCAATGCGATGAAAATGCCACCTAACTAGTGGCTATGCTGCATTGTTGGAGAATTATGCTCAGGAGATAATAATAATATCCAGGGATAAGTCTGTGCCTGTAGCTTCCAATATCCCAGCTTCTATTCCTTCTCCCCGCGAGTCACCTGCCTGGTTTGTAGTCCTAGAAATGTCGCTCTGCTGTTCTCACCTCGCTGGGCTGTAGAAGGCTTGCTGCTTCTGACTTCTTCTCCTTGAGACATGCCCCTTTTTTCGTGATTTTTTTTTTCTTCTTGGAATGCCCTTTTCACCTCTTGACTTGGCAGAATCCTAAATGTGTCTGAGACCAGCAAAGATACCCCCTTCTGACTGAAATCATTTTAGATCTTTCCAATTGGATGCACTCTCCTTCTGTTTTCAACCCTGTGGCATTGGTTTCTGTTCTCTTATGCCACTTTCCACTCTCTGCTCTGAGTAATCTCCCTTGTGTGTTTGTCTCATTTCTAGTTGGCTCCTCCCAGCACCTGGCACCCTTTATTCAATCCACAAACACTGATCGCTTACTGTGTGCCAGGCATTATGCAAGTTTGGGGTTATTAAAAGCCAGTGGAACAGGCAGGGTTCCTCAGAGTGCGTGTGTAACACAGTTATTGATCACAGCATGTTCTCCTTTAATGAAACAACAGATGGTTGATTGCAAACATGTATGTTTTGAAATAGAGATAAATACAAAGAAGATCACGATGAAGAGCCCACAATCTCCCAGCCAAAATAACTAGTGTTGAACTATTATAAAAAGTAAAGCCAGTGTTCCCTGGGATAATGGGAATGTATACCACTGGTGGTGGGTACTGCTCCCCACCCTTTCAGTTCTCCTAGGGTTGTATGTGTGCTAACTTTCCTATCATGGGGGCGGGGGTGTTGGGGGTGTGGATTTGGAGATCAGAGCCATCAGATGTGGGAAAGGAGGGTGTGGTGTGGGCTTCCCAGCTCTCCCATGCTGTCATTCCCGTATCTAGATCTGTAACAAGCAGGCATTAAGTCCACACTATTCCTGAAGTCACTTCTGAGGCTGGAAGCCTCAAATAGAGCTCCAGATCTCTCAATGAATAAGAGTAAGCTGTCAGTGACAACTTCCACCAGATGGCGCTAAGGTGCAGCTGGAACCTAAGGATTAGGCTCCTGCAGCCAGAACCAGAACTCCCACCAGGCAGCAAACAGGCCCAGTGGTGTTGTTTCATGCATCTCTCAATAACATCACTCTGTGTTTTTATTTGTGTTTTCAGACTCTATTGACTTCCTTGTAACAGGTTTTACTGTGCATTTATAAGGCTGGGTCACGTGAATAATACAGAAATTTAATGAAAATGCCTGCATTTCTGCCTACACAATTGCTGAAACTGCTCAGTTGTTTCTTAAATTCCTTGGAGAAAAAATTATTATTCAAATATCTGAACATAAGCAACTGCTTACATATTTTATCTCTTCTGCTTTTGCCTATACATATTTAACCTAAAAATGATTATATCTGTTGTTTGGACCATGCTGTTGTATTAAGACGTATCCTGGCAATATTTTCTTATCCACACACTATTACATTATTTCATCCAAATCAAGTCCTATAGGTTATTTTTGTTCCTTCCAATATTTTGCTATTGATACATATTGAGAATAGTGTCCAGGATATTTGATATTTGCAGGATAGTTTCCTCCAGGAAAGTCTGCACACTCCACAGCACTAATTATACTCAAAGATTATCATCTTTGACGGTTTTTACAGATGGAGTGTGGTGTCTAGTTCTTTGTGTGTGCATCTTCTCCAGCTGAGAACCAGGCTCAGAGACCTAGGAGCCTGTGGGGAAGAAGCCCCGGCGGTGCCCTGACTCCTCCTGTCCAGCAGAGGGCGCGGCCCGGCCGCTCCCGCATGCGCAGTGAGCGGTGTGTCAGATGCCGGGGAGCCTCGCAGCCGGCGCGGTGTTCCCAGCTGGCTCGCGCAGACCTGGCCCTGGCGGCGGCCCCCACCTCCCCGCCTTCGGACCCGGGCGGCCGTGGCCCGCGCCCAGCGGCATGAGCCGGTGACCGAGCGCGAGGCCGAGCGGAAGGCAGCCGTGGCTGAGGTGAGCGCGGCGCGCAGGGGCCTGGCCCCGGGGTGGGCGCGCGGGCAGCCAAGGCCCGGGGAAGGCCACCCCGAAATGACTTCCGTCAGTGGGGACGCTAGGATTCTGGCACCCGCTTCCGGGCTGCGCCGACGCCGCTGGCCTCCCCACCGGTCCCCCTCGCGCGCTGCCCCTGCCAGGCCTCTCTTTGCTCCCGCACCCCTCCGACTCCTGGCTCCCGGCTGCCGCCCCTCAGGCCGAGGCCTTGCGCCCCTGGGTGCGCCCGGCGCACTGCTGCGCTCCTGGGCAGGGCTCGCACCCCGCGGAGGGTGGCCAAGGGCGTGCTGGCCCTGGGCGTCGCCTGGAAGCTCAGAGGCCTTTGGAGCTTTGTGCCGGTGGTGGGAGCAGATCTCGGAATAGTGTGGAGACTCCAGGAGTTGCTTGGGGAATCGCTCCTCCAGGAGGGTCCTGTGCTTGTTTGTCCTGAGATAGAAATTATCTAACTTTTCTTGTAAGTGAGTTAATTGTCCTAAATACTTCAACTGGCCTTGGTTTATATGTTTCAGAGCTCAAAGTCTATTCATGGTAATAAAATATACGATTCCATTTCTATCACTCTTCCCTTTCCCAGACGCAGTCCTCCTGGTTGCGAGCCTGTGCCGGTGTAAATGGACAGTGGGCTCTAGAGCTAGACGCCTGCTGTGTTTGGGATTCTAACTTTGACATTTTCTAGTTTTGTCCTATTGGACAAGTACTTGCCTTTACTTTCTCCATCTGTAAAATAAGGGCAGTATTCGTTTGTCACCCAGCAGTGTTATGAAGATTAAATAAATTAACACTAATAAAGTGCTTGAAACAGACCCTGGCGTGTAGTAAGTGCTCAGTATAGTTACTGGTTATTTAGTGGTATTCATTGTATTAATTACATTATCATTTCCACAATTAAAAGGCACAGTTCTTTTAAATTGGAAACCATTTTTAGAGGCAGTTAGCCATAGTGTAATTGTAAAGAATCATCAGGCAAGGCAATGAATTGTGGATTTTCCTGCTTTTGCTCATATTTGGTTCCTTTGGTTTTTGGAGCAGATTGATTAATTTCTAGTGTGGCAGTGGTCCTGGAAGGCTGTTTGGGCTTCTCTAAAAAGGTTAAAAAGATAAGAAATTGCGATTCGAAAAGTTGGACTCAGCTGGGTGTGGTGGTACATGCATATAATCCCAGCAGCTCAGGAAGTTTGCAAGTTCAGCAATTTAGTGAGGCCCTAAGCAATTTAATGAGACCCTGTCTTAAAAATAAAAAAGCTGGGGGGGGAGGGGGGAGGGGATGTGGCTCAGTGGTAAAGTGCCCCTGGGTTAAATACCTGGTACCAAAAATAAAATTAAATAAAAATAAAAATGAGTAAAAGGATTGAATATGGTCTGAAACACAGAAGAAATGCTGTTCAGGCAAATTTTTGGAATAAATAATTCCAGGAACAGAAAATGCATCTCATCTTGACAGTAGCTTGGGGTTAAAGGACTTTTCCAGTGACTCAGTGCCCAGAAGACTCAGCTATCCAGAAGATTCCAGTGTTTTGCAGGGATGCATTTGATGTTTTTAAAGGAGGGTGAAGTTTGCAGAGCTTTGATTTGAGATTCCGTTTTTGATCCAGATTGCCGTTATGTGGAACAAACATTTATTTGCAGAAGTTTCCTTTCTTTCTGTCCCCTTCTGGGCCTGTGACTTCTTGCTGGTTCTGAGCGTTCTCTTGGAATGGAAAGATGACAGCTCATTTCCTTGGTGATGGTTTTAGAGGTATCCATCTTCCTGTACTTCAGCATGCAAAAACTCCTGTGAAAGTTGGTTCTGTATGTTATAGAGGTGCAGCTGGGATGCCCCGAGTCGGAACATCATGGGTTCAATCTAGGCAGGAAGTTTTACATAAGGGAGGCAGTTCAGCACAAGTTTGTGAGGGCAGGTGCAGGGAGCAGGGATGTTCTTTGGATGTGTTTATGTGTGATGGGTAGTGGGAGAGGAGGTGTTTAGGGGTGGGTACAGAAAATTCAGAAATAGCTAGCCTTTTTCTCCCTTTTGGAAACTTTTTCCAATTCAGCAAAGACAAAAATTAGAAGCCCTCACCATGTAATAACTCAAACCTGTGTGCCAGTGGAACTGAGGAGGAGAGATTTGTTCATGTAATGAGTGTTTACGTTCTGGACTTGGTATTAGCTGGGGGATACTGAACAAGACTCACTGCAAGAAAATCACAACCAGTAGGGGAGACAGACTTGCAAGTATGTAACTAAGGTAACACTGGAAGTGCTGTAATGGAGTGTGCAGAAGGTAGGTGGCTTCTCAGAGATGGTCTCCAGCTCCCCGGCTTTCATGTCTCACCCCCCATTTCTTTTATCACAAATGCTTACTCTGCCCCAGGTGTTTGCCATAGCCTCAGTTTTTATTCTTCAGAGGCTGATGCAGACTCTTGGGCATTTGCTTAACTGTGAAGGATACTCAGGAGCGGGGAGGAGTGTGCATCTAAGGCTGGGCTTTGGTGGGGAATGCCCTGGCTTCCAGTGCATCTGAGGTATGTTCTGCTTCAATCTGCAGGGGTTCCTAGCCAGGCTCAGCTCTGTTTGCCTGGCTCAGTATGGTGACCAGCTCAGTCGAGTATCTTGAAGGCTTTCTGTTCTTCCCTGACACTCCTCCTTATTCCCTCACTCTAGCTGTCTGGATCCACCTACATGGGCAAGCCATCCAGGTCCAAGATGTTTTTCTTAGTTTGGCAGACCACAGACTAAGGCAGTGGCTCCAGAAAGCAGGCCCTGAGAAGAGTACTTTGAAACTGAACCCTTCACCCTCCGGTGGCAGCAAGGACCCCTTTATCAGTGGCAGTGAGAGGCTGGAAACCCCTGGTGCTCTCTAGTATCACAACTGTAAGACTCTCAGGATGGAAGTTGGGAGGAGATCCAGGTAGGAAGCAAAGCAGTGGCCAGCACGGTACTCTAGCACTGAGGGTGTGTGGCCAGCGGTGGTTGTGAGGAGGGAGGGGTTGGCTGGCTCCTGTTGCATCCATTAGAAGCCTTGGGTTAAGAGAATGCTGGGCTCAAGTCAGCCAGATGTCAACCCCGTGCAGCGTAAAAGATAGGAGTCTCTGCAGCCCTCTCTCCTGCAGCTGGAGGACAGACTGAAGTCAGGCCCAGAACTGAATCGTGATTGTGGCAGAACTCTAAAGGAGGCTGAAGGCGCAGCTCTCACTGGTCACCTCTTCTACAGCAGGGGCTGTGAGAGGGGAGAAGCACCAGGATGGAGAGACTGGGTGGAGGCGCTGAGAACTGTGAACTCCTGCTCTGCCTTAGACCCGGGGCCAGCAGAGCTCCTGCCCTCCGTGGCAGAGGAGAGCAGCCTCTTCTAGCTTGGCAAGGGCAGAGCCCTCACTGAGGTACCAGCTTCAGGACCAATGCTTGTCGTCCTCAAGATCTCCCTCTCATCTCAACATGACCTTAACCGGGAGGCCTGCAGGCCCTGGCTGGCCCTGGCTAATGTGGACCAGTAGGTACCTGGGGTACATGTGGAGCAAATCTTCTACAAGTGGGGTGGGGGGAGAGTCTGTTACCATGGGAGCGTTGTCTCATGATCAGGGTTTAAGGACCTAGCAGGACAACTGCTTGAGGCCTGCACAAGACAGTGATGTGTACTAGTGGTTCCCACCTGGCGCGGTTTTGTCTCCTCTGGGAGGTTTGGTGGTGCCGTAATTGGCAGCGAGGCTGGACTCACAGCCTGGCAGGCAGTCTTGACCCATTGTTCTGCTAAGAGAGCATGGTGCTCATGAGGGCAGTGTAGGTGGGCAGCCAGTTAGGGTCTTGCCTGATTGTTTAGCCTGGCAGAATCAAGGGCTGGCAAGTAGAAGCTGAGATAGAAAGATCACCTGGTGTTCTGACGTGAGCCAGAGCTCAGACCCATGTCCCAGGGACTAAGGGGGAGGCTAGGTCTCTCTGAAAAAGGACCTTGTAACATCCCTGCCAAGTGTAGACCAGCACCCCCACCCTTCTGAAAGGGAACTGCAGCTCTTTATCAGGACAACTGTAGAGGGGGGAAAGGATAATGTCCAGACCTTTAGAGGGCTGTGCAGTACAGAGTTGGAGCTGATCCTAGGACCAGACAACCCCTAGCAAGAATGGATGGGAGCTGCAGGTAAATGCTCTAGCTTCCCAGCCTCCTAAGGGCCAGCATGGAGCCCATGTGGTCGTCAGAAGGCCTTTAGCTACCTCTACCCACAGCAGTAACCAACTACTGGCTTTCCATTGTTCCCCATCTCTCTCCTTGTTTCCTCATTCTGGCTTTCAGAGATCACTTTCCAAGCAAATAACTACTTGCATGCCTTACCCTGGCTTTGTCTCTGCTGACCTTGAACTTGAGAACCTTCTGCCTCCATCTCCTAAGAAGTGCAGACTATAGGCATGCACCACATGCACCACTGTAGCCAGCTTTATTTTTTGAAAAAGCGTTTAAATAATAATAATAATAATTATTATTATTATTATTTTGGGTTTGTTGTGATTATCTTTTTTATAGTTCATGAAAACTAGTAAAATTTGTATGCGGATACTTTTTTTTTTTTTTTCGGGTTACCGGGGATTGAACTCATGAGCACTCAACCACTGAACCACATCCTTAGCCCTATTTTGTATTTTATTTAGAGACAGGGTCTCGCTGAGTTGCTTAGGTCCTTTCTGAGTTGCTGAGGTTGGCTTTGAACTTGCAATCTTCCTGCCTCAGCCTCCCAAGCTGCTGCGAATTTTCTTTTTCTTTTTGGTGTTTTATTTCACAGTGAAACCAAATGATTTATTTGTGCTAAATGAATGGAAATACTTTCCTCTATTCCTCTATACTTATTTTCTTTTCCTCTAAGCAATACAGTATTTTGTGGCTATTTTGCTAAGATAGTCCTATAATGTTCCTCTCAAATAGTATTTTCTAATAGTATTTTGCACTTTTAAGATACTTATTCAGGCTCTTAGGAGAGCACATTAAAAGGGAAACCACATTGGTTCTGTTACAATCCCATTGCCCCCTACAGCAAACATCAAAGACCACATCAGCCACTGGTGGGCTGGACACTTATGGGCTCATGTTAGAGGGGCCAGCTTCTGGAGATCAATATTAAGGATAAAGGAAAGAATTACACCTTACAGGCAAGAATTATCCATCCCATGTATGTGGAGAAGATACAGCTGTCTGATTGGTTACTTTAGACTATCCGGTTTACAAGAGACATGGGTGTGGATTTAGATTGAAAATAACTTATAAAAAGTGTATCTGTAGAAAGCTCTACTAAAGTATAGGATAATATCCAGACGTGTTGAGGCTGTTGAGTTAGGGTCTGAGCTGATGCTAGTACCAGGCAACCCCTAGCCAGAGTGAATAGGAGTTGTAGGTAAATGCCCTAACTACGTCTGGGGACACAACACACACCTGCTCTGTGTGTGGTAGACACTGATTCATCCAGCTTCCCACTCTACACTGAAAGTTAGATTTTCAAAGGCCTGAGTTTTAGTGCTGAATTCTTGGTACGTTTGGTAAACAACATTATAATTGGAGGTAGGTTCATGGAAAAACAAAAAAAGACATCCTTTTTGTTTTATAAACCTAAAAACCAGGAAAATGAAACTCTGAGACTATCCGAAAGTTTCACATTTTTGCTGTATCGCTGAGTACATACAGCGAATACTCCAGCAGGGAATGAGTGTGCAGTAGATTCAAGGAGAACACTGATGGATGGTCATGGGATTAGTGTGGTGAGCCATAACAGTGGCTGTGCTTCCAGCCAACATTTATAACAGGAGCTGGGAAGCCTAGACAATCTGTCAGATCCACATATGCCAGGGAAGCAAGCCTTTGGCATTGAATAGATTGGCTTTGATGGACATGTCCCGGCTTGAAATTCAGACAAAGCATGTACATAAGGATCCTTTTACTGTTCCCTTAATCCAGTTTCACTGTGTGTAAAAATAGCATTTTTCAAACTGGGTGCTACAACTGATCTTATATGTTAGGGCCCAGATTTATAAAAAAGCAATAGTATAGCAGAATAGGAAAGTAGAGGATTCATTGCATGTGTTTCCTGTATGCTAGGGTTAAATGCCATTTTATGAAACTTATTACAATACACACATGTCTGTGTTGGGTGACAATATTCAATGTACTTCATGCTCCAGGTTTTAGGTAGAAAAAAAGATTGAAAACTACCGTGTTGTTTAATATTAGGAAAGGTTTCAGACATGATTGCACAAAATAAGCACCTGAGGAGCTTGCTGAGTGACTGATTCTATGACCCAATTAGACTATTAAGAACAAGCTCCAGTCGTGGGCCAGGGAATCTGCTTTAACATACTCCCTGTGATTCTCACCCTTGGGATGTTTGGGTGCCACTGATTGGTGTATGAGTGGCCCTTGTGAGTTCCTTGGGAATTTTTGCATGTGGGCCAGTAGAGAGCAGCTCCTGGCATGCATTTGTCCTCACCTCTCAGCACTTTCTCTAGGAGGGATACACAGAGTTGCAGGGAAGCCATATCATAGGGTAGGCCTGGAGGTGGTGGGGCCTAGGGGCAGACTGGGAATGTCCTGCTGGTTGTTAGAATGACAGATGTGAAATAGCTCTATGCTCATATTTCTATTATAGAATCAAGTTAGCAAGTGGGGTGTAGTAGTGCATGCCTGTAACCCCAATGACATGGGAGGCTCAGGCAGGAGGATTGCAAGTTTAAGGCCCGCCTCAGCAATTTAGTGAGGCCCTAAGCAACTTTTGATACTCTGTCTCAAAATGAAAAATAAAAGGGGCTAGGGGTGTAGCTCAGTGATTAAGCACCTTTGGGTTCAATCCCCAGTACCCCCCTCCCCCCACTAATCAGCATATGTTGAATGGCTATTGCTTTTTCCCCAATTATGAGAATTGTTAAGCTTAAAATTCATGAACACATGTACACTAGCCCATGACAAGCTAATTCCTTGATATGTTCCAAATCATGGTCTCAAGAGAGATCAAGTTGAAATCATTCATGACTTTCCAGCACCTTTTACTCAAAAAGCTAACGATGATTACTGTCATCAAGACTGGGCTGCCCTTAGCCAGGGGCCATGAAGCAGTAGTGCTGTGTGGGCGGTGTGGGGAGAGCTTCATTTGTCCTGAGCGAAGTGAGAGTCTGAGCCTCTCAGTGTCTTCCTGTTACAGTCAGCTGTCTCACAGATCAGTGAGTGGAGTGGGACCCTTGTGTAGACTGGGCTTTGACACGCGGAATGCCAAAGTGGCTTGTCCAAGTCAGTGGTAAGTCAGTGACATGATGTAGTCACTCTGCAGGCTCTGCTCTCCACACAGCATCTAGGCATCACAGCACCTAGAGAGTGGGCTTGGTGAGGAGCTTGGGTTGTGCTCTTCAGGGAGCTCCACATTTTCAGCTGAGGATGAAACGTCTTTCTTTAGTCTCAGCCCACGATGCTTGTTGGCTGTTCTGGTATTTACCTACTGCTGTGTAGGAAACCACCCCAAAACTTAGTGACTTAAAACATCCGCCACCAGCTCATGTCCCCTGCTTCTGCAGTCTGCACAGAGCTCCCCAGCGGTGGCTGCTCTGCTCTGCAGGATTTCGGCTGGATCCTCCTGAGGGCACTTGGGAGCTCGGCTTCCTCCTAGGCTTCCTCCTAGTGTGACTGCTGGAAGAGCTTAAGGGGACAGAAGCAGAGGGTGTGGGGTCTCTGAAGGCCTGGGCTCAAGTCTCAAGTGTCACTTCTGCCACCTTGTTATGCTCAGAGAAAATCATAATTAGCCCAGTTTCTGGGGGGGGGAGTTCTATCTTTTAATTGCAAAAGTGTCACACACATTTGTGGACAGGAGGAGTGTTCACTGTGCCTTTGGAGAGGGGTCCACTGCACTTTCCCCTCTCTCCTCCCTCTTCCTCTCCCTCCCAGGATCTTCCCTGGCCTGTTCGTTCATTCAGTCCTTCTTCCATCTAAATGTGCCCACTCTAACCTCCACTATCAAACATCAACATATATTTTGTTTAAAGACTAAAGATCTTCTCTGATACCCTTTGTGCTTTTCCAGTGCTTCCGAATGGTGTTTTCACATCTGTGTAGGAAACCACCCCAAAACTTAGTGACTTAAAACCATATTACAGTTTTTTCCTTTAAACAAGGACGTCATTTGCCACACTAAGTGCTTGATTTTTCTTGTTTCTCTCCCTGGTGACCAGGAGTGTGAGGAAGAGGCTGTCTGTGTCATTATGTGTGCGTCGGTCAAGTACAATATCCGGGGTCCTGCCCTCATCCCAAGAATGAAGACCAAGCACCGAATCTACTACATCACCCTCTTCTCCATTGTCCTCTTGGGCCTCATTGCCACGGGCATGTTTCAGTTCTGGCCCCACTCCATCGAGTCCTCAAATGACTGGAGCGTGGAGAAGCGTAGTGTGCGTGACGTGCCAGTGGTCAGGCTGCCAGCCGAGAGTCCCATCCCTGAGCGAGGGGACCTCAGTTGCAGAATGCATACATGTTTTGATGTCTACCGCTGTGGCTTCAACCCAAAGAACAAAATCAAGGTGTATATCTACTCTCTGAAGAAGTATGTGGACGACCTTGGTGTCCCGGTCAGCAACACCATCTCCCGGGAGTATAATGAACTGCTCACGGCCATCTCAGACAGCGACTACTACACCGACGACATCAACCGGGCCTGCCTGTTTGTGCCCTCCATTGATGTGCTCAACCAGAACACACTTCGCATCAAGGAGACAGCGCAGGCACTGGCCCAGCTCTCCAGGTACCACACTTAGAGGGCCAGTGCCTGGGATAGGAGCACTTCTCCTCCTGAGCTGGCCTCCCTGTGCTGTCTTCTCTAGGAGCAGGCAGTGGGCAGTGGGCAGTGGGCCGGTGGTGGTAGGGTGAGGCAGTCCTCATCTCCAGGGCCACTGCCGTTGTTCCCAGCTTCGTAGAGTTTGCAAACCAAGGATGGTTCTTCTTCCCATGCTTTTCCTTAAAAAATGTAAATACACTGCCCCCGGCCTGTCCCAAGCACTGACAGACACACATTTATGTTAAATAGCAAAAGAAGAATGTAGGATTAATTCTATAATTCTGCCTCTAAGAGGTAGTCATGATCAATATTTTGATGTTACTTTTCAGTCATTGTTTTGTATAAAAAATATACACGTGCGTGTACATCTTTTAGTCTTTTTTTTTGTCAAGATCGTATCACATAAGACATGTTTTTGTTTGCTTTATTTCCCTTAATATATCCAGTAAACATATTTCCAAATAATTTCATGTTCTTGTATTATATAATTTTAAATGTTGCATGATACTCCCTCTTATTTTTTATTTTGTTGGTATCAAGGATTGAACTCAGGGGCACTTAACCACTGAGCTACATCCCTAGCCTTTTTTAATATTTTATTTTGAGACAGTGTCTTGCTGAGTTGCTTAGGGCCTTGCAAAGTTGCTGAGGCTGGCTTTGAACTTGAGATCCTCTTGCTTCAGCCTCCCAGACCACTGGGATTACAGGCGTGCACCACTGTGCCTAGCTTACTTGTGCTAAGTGTAGATTTCCACAGATGACAATGCCAGCCTCTGACACGTCGAGAACACAGCTGGCCTCAGGCTGTTCTCAGGCTCTTTAAATTTTAACAAAATGGTGCACATTTTTAGTTTTTCATTGGGAGAAACGGTTCTTAAGTGGGCACACTTGAAGTACACGTCCACCTGTTTTTCCTTCCACGGATTCAGACTAGTGCCTTATGTACTGTTGGGACTTGTGGGAATCTGCTTTGCTCACTTGAGACATGCTGGCTCTCTGGTGGCTGCCTGTTTCTTCAGGATTGTCATGGAATTCTCTTCCACATTTCATTTCTAAACAGGTGGGATCGAGGTACAAATCACCTGTTGTTCAACATGCTGCCTGGAGGTCCCCCAGATTATAACACGGCCCTGGATGTCCCCAGAGACAGGTAGGCATGTTTGGGGCTGTCCCAGAGATGGGTTTCAAATGCAAGATCCTTTTATTCCTGTGAGATTGTGTTCCTGAGCCTGCTGGGACATTCTTTGTATCGAAATTGTTTATTAAACTAGAAATTTATCCTATGCACTTTTCTCCTCAAGGCATAGAGGATGCTGGGGACAGCCAGTTAGAGCTCATGTCTGAGCATTGCCTCTAAAAAGCTGTCTGTTCTTAGTTTGGGTCATGCTTTCTGACTGGAGCACCCCAACTCCCAAGGCAGGTTGAGGACTGAATTCGTCAGCTCTCCCTGAATTTGGCAAATGCTCCCTCCCAGCCTGGTGGGCGAGGAGGGCGTGGATGAATAAAGTGATGCTTGAGGCATGTGATGTGGGGTGATGTGGGGTCTCTGTCAGTAGATTTCTTCCTCTCTTTCCCTCCCTGCATTTATTTTCCTCTTTCTCCCCCACCACCTTCTTGCTCCCTTCTTTTCTTCCTTTCTGGTAAAACTCCCCAAACAGGCAGATGTCATGACTTAAGATTGTGACTTTGATCTCACTCATGATATTGCCTGCCCTCTCATGCGCTGACTGAATCACTTTGGCCCGAGTTTCTTGGAAGGCTCCAGAAGGAGGTGCTGCGTACACTTTCTTCAGGGCTTTGAGGAGAGCAGCGAGCCTGACCCCAGACGAGTGCGCTGGGCAGTGTTTGAGGTATAGATTGTTGAAGTTCACTGTCTTGTTGGCTGATGTTGAGCAAGGCTGAGAATAGCCTGAGCCAGCCTTGTTCTTGGCTTGACAGAGGCTGACCTTGTCATTTGTGGAAATCTACATTTAGCACTACTTTGCCTCAGAAGATTGTTTTCTCTAAGTGAGTTTTTCAAGTCAGCTTTGAGTTTCTATCTGGAAATACAGATATCACTGGAAGAGACCATGCCCCAGACTCCCCCTTCACTTTGGTGTAGAAACCATTTTGGACACCAGAGGGCAGTGTGGTCACACATAGGGCCTCCTGGTCGGCTCTGCCTAGTGAGATACACTGGCTGGCTCTTGAATGGATTTGGTTGTCCTGGGAAAGGGAGATAGATGCTTCTGAGGACAGAGAAGGGAAGGGAAAGAGCTGTGGGGAGTGCAGTGTCTTCCCTTCCTCCTCTGGCTTTCTTTCCTGAAGGTAAATTTTTATGTGGGACATTTCACATTTTGGTGTGCATCTGCATGGGAGGTGGATTTTATTTTTATGAAGTGCACATGTTAAATGGGGTTTCATTTCTCTGTGGAGAGTGTCAAGTAGACAGGAGAAGTTTGTATTCCTGCTAGTACTAAGGTTTCAGGGATAGGGAAGGTCACATTGTTTTCTCTGTGTGTGATTATGAGTGATTGTAGTGTAGCCAGTGACACGTCAGCATGGGGCCTGCTGTGCCCTGCAGTGGGGTATTTCATTCTGAAACTGGGGTGGCATCTGTGGGGCGGGGAATAGTAGATTTGTTTGTTAATTTTTCTTATCCTTTGTCTTTGCTCCTGGACTCAGAGGAGGCAAAAGCCATGAGTGTAGAATGGTTTTATCAGGGGCTGCATGTCAGTTGTTCATAAATTAGATGACAGAGTAGATTGCTTTAAGATATCCTAAAGTCTACTGTGGTGGTGTGACTTCTTAAAAGTCATTTTACTCAGGGAAATACAAGGACCAGGACTGAAGGGAAATATGTACTCAGCAAATATGTCTTTTGTGCTCTTTTTAAAAAAATATTTATTTATTTGTTCTTATCAGTTTTACATGACAGCAGAATGCTCTTAGATTCACAATAGTCTCAAAAAAAAAAAAAAACCAAAACCAACAACCTCAAAACAAACTTGGAATCAATTTAACAAAAGAGGTGAAAGACCTCTACAAGGAAAACTACAGAACACTAAAGAAAGAAATTGAAAAGACCTTAGAAGATGGAAAGCTGTCCCATGCTCTTGGAAAGGCAGAATAAATATTGTCAGAATGGCCATACTGCCCAAAGCACTATTCAGATTCAATGCAATATCAGTTATTTGGAAAAATAAAAGACCCAGAATAGCCAGAGCAATCCTTAGCAAGAAGAGTGAAGCAGGAGGCATCACAATACCAGATCGTTTGTGCTTCTTAAATCTGTTTCTATTTCTCTTTTAATCTTTGAAAATCAGACACATGATACAAGTATACTTTCTCTGCACCAGAGTAGAGTGGTGTGCAGTGTATAAAGGGTAAAATATTTTCACTTTTGGAAGATACTCATTGTTAAATGTTGTGTATTTTTCTAGTCTTTTTCTATTAGACACAAATACACGCATACCCATTTTAACTTAGGTGGGACCTCCACTGATGTTAGTTTTGCTGAATACATTCTGTAATAGTGCTACTCCTTGGGTTTTTATTATCCTTTCTTTGCATGTATCCCTTACAAGTGTCTCTACTCTCATGTGGGTATATATGTATTTATTTGAACTTGTTCTGAAAACTTCCAAACCTGTACAAAAGAAGAGAGTAGGTCAGTGGACCCTACAGCCCACTGTCAGCCCCACCAGCTCTGTTGGAGGTCAGTTGCATCTGTGCTCTGCCCCTTCGTCCAGGGTATCCCAGGCAAATCCCAGACATTTCATCATTACCTCTGCAGATGTTTCCAAATTAATCTATGTACGATGTGGGCTTTTAAAAAAACAACTAAAATATGATTATTTTCCTATTATTAACAGTACTTCAGTATTATCAAGTAAACACCAAATATCTAGCCATTGTTCAAATTCATTTGTCTCATAATATTTTTTACAGTTTGACTCAATAAATAAATAAGAATGACCAAGGTTGGCCTTTGTGTTGCAAAACTGAAGCTTTGTATTTGAGCGGTTTATGAGTCTGATTATGTGAGTGGCCTGAAGGCCAGCAGAGGATGACCCTGCAAGCTTGCTTTGTCGAGGTGAGGTGGACGCTCTGTAGAAGAACTATGAGGAGTTTGTGCCAGACTGCAGCTGGCCAGATGAGAGATGGAGGCTGTGGGAGAAAGGCTTAGTGACAGAGGAGATGTCCTCGAGTGGGGAGCCCAGGAAAGTGCGAAGACTCTTGGACCGACAGAGTGCTCAGCCTGCCATGAGCCTGATCATCACACTAAGACTTTTTCAACCGCAAGTCTTCTATTCGATCTCTTGTAGCTTTAGGCTGATCCAAGGCTTTTGAACTGATTTCTGATTTGGGAATCCGTAATGGGAAAACAGAAAGTGCTGCTCAGAATTCTAAGTCAATGTAAAACATGTGTTCTGTAAAGCAAGGGTGCTTACAATGTTTTCTCCATTATAACACCATGGAGAGCTTGGCGGAGGAGACTGTGACTTAGATCTCAGGCTTGTCAGTAGCAAGGCTGGGCGAGGCGAGTTGACTAACTGCAGGCAGGCTTTCTGAGATCACAGAGATCGCATGTGTGTGATCCATGACAAAAGGCATGCTTCAGACTGCATGCTGTCCTGCTGCCACTGCATGACGCCTGCCTTATTCCCCCAGAACAAAGTAACAAGTTGGTGGTCGAGGGACAGAGTAACATAGCTTCCTCCCTACATGCACTCACAGCCAATTCGCCCACACCCTGCCTTACCTGGGCTGCCTGGTGCCTGTCTCTCGGAGCCCTGTCTGCTTCTCTGCACAGAGGCCATGGCCACGTGGAGTCTGCTTGCCATCATGGCCATGGAACCCACCCAAGTTCATGTTGGATGGATTCGAGGCTGCATGCTAATCAGGAAAAATCAGACCGTATGTTGGTACTCAGGGTAGTCATTACAGTTTAGAGAGTAGACTGGCAGCTGGAGAGGTTTTTATCCTGCACATTACCTCACTCACCAGTTCTTGGTTTCATAAAGCTTAAACAAACACAGTGGGATTTCTAGGGGTGGTTTGAAAATCTTTGAATTTAAACTGGTCATGTTAGAAGGGAATGTAGGTTGTCATCAGGGCAGGGCAGGGATTGGTAGCAATCAATATTGCAAAAAATGTGGTTTCTCGGTTCAGACATTTTGGCTTAGACGCTGTAGTATGTGCAACTGGCAAAACTGCCCCAGAAAGTGATTTCGATGAGTTTGGGGCCCCTGGGACAGAATAACAATAAAAGTTGGTGTGATATACACCTGTTTCCTTTCTCTGATGAAGTGTCATTGTACTACTTGCTGGTTTCAATTAAAAAAAAATGTGGTCACTGTTTTCTAATTAAGGAGAATAATAGCTAGTGCAGGCCAACTGCAGGAGAAGCACTGAAGGCCTGATTCTGGATTCTGCTTCCTGAACAGGGAATTGGGTTAATAAGACTCAGTGGCTGGAAGGGACAATGTGAGCTGGCAGAGGCTACATGATTGGCATGTGGCTCTGGAATGACAGAGGAAAGTGCTATGCAGGCCAAGGCTGGGGAGAGGCTGGGGTATATGTGATATGAGTCGTGAGACTTTCCAGCCACCTCTGCTTTCCTTGTCATTTTCTCCCAGGATTCCAGGCAGAGGGGTGGGAAATGCCCCAGCCAGTCTTCCTGAGCAGACCTGCTGTTATTCCTGTTGCTGTAAATGTGTTTAAGAATAAAGTAGGACGTTGGGGAGGGAGAGGGGAGTAGGAACTGAATGAGGTGGCAGAGGGGTTATTCGTAGTGTCCCCTGGGGTATGATGTATTTTAAAAAATGGAAAGTAAGAAAGAGTTTCAGGCCTGGGGGAAGGTTGGTGATTCAGGAATAGGATGCAGCTGGAGTCCACGAGATGCGACATGAGTGTGGAACATTGAGCACAGTGTCTTAGAGAGCTGTGCCTCTGTCACTTCAGCTGCTGTTGAACATTAAGACTCAGTCATTGCTGTCCCTGTCACAGAGCTTATCGAATGAAGGCCTTCTTTCTTTCTCATTGTTCGATGAACCTTGCTTTCAGGGCATTGTTGGCTGGCGGTGGCTTTTCTACGTGGACTTACCGGCAAGGCTATGACGTCAGCATTCCTGTCTATAGTCCCTTGTCAGCTGAAGTGCATCTTCCAGAGAAAGGACCAGGGTAAGTGCCTCCTGTGCACGTCCAGTGTGCCTTCACAGAGTCTGGGGGACGCTGCAGCTTAGCCTGGGGGTTTCCCAGCAATCGCAGCATTGCTTTGAGGTCAAGTCTTGAGTGTGCCGTTGGCCCCAGCCACCCCAAGATTGTCCATCCTTGGTCTTTCACTATCTTGGTCAACTCCCAGGCTGTCTTCCAGGTTTCCCAAACCAGGACTCTGCCACATATCTAACTCCTTCCTTCCCTTTACCAATCCAAAATAACAGCATGTCCTTTGACTTTGTATCCAAAACATGCCTCAGAGCTCTCTATCCCTCCTCCCCTCTGCCCACAGCAGGCTGCTGTCACCGCCCTGTGGGCTCCTGAATGGACCCTGTTGGGCATCCCTGACTCCAGCTTGCTGCCCTGCGGCCTGGTCCTTGGTCCCACACTCCTGGAAGGACAGGGCCACCTCCCTGGTGTGTCTGTCAGGGTTCTCTGCCATCTGACCACTCCTTCTCGAGCCTTTTCTCTGAGAACATTTTTTTCCTTTTATGTTCTTAGTATGGGCTTTGCTCTCCCAAGTTTTTCTGGGCTGCAAGTACACTCAATTGCCTGGAAATCTTTTTCCTCATCAGTCTGATGTCCTGCTCGTGCTTTAGGTTTCACCTCGAAACCACTGGTCATGGGCCAGGTGGGTGCACTCTGTTCACTCTGCATTACGCTCCCATGGCAACCGGCCCTTCTCAAAGGTGCTTGGTGTGCTCTGGCATCTGACTTGCTCAAAACCTGTCTTCTCTAGACTTTGGATTGTGTCCGTGCAGTGGAACAGAGGCTGGGCCTGTGTTTCAGCTGCTGCAGGGTGTCTAGCGTGTATAGCTGGCTCATACTTAATATGTGGAATCAGTGGAAGGGTCTGCAGCAGGGATGTGGCAGGCCTTTGTCTAACTTTTTAGCTGTAGTCTCTTTAAATGTTGTGTTATTGGGCTGCAGTTGTGGCTCAGCGGTAGTAGAGCGCTTGCCTGCAGGGTGAGGTCCTGGGTTCGATCCTCAGCACCACATAAAAATAAATAATAAAAAAATGTTGTGTTATTGCATGATGAGAACTCCATGAGCTTTAAATAATGCTAATGAAAACTCCTTTTTAAGTGCCAACATACAAAGGTGACTGAAATTACAAACCTGAAGATATCATACCCATTCACAGAAGCTGAGTGTGATGGCACACACCTGTAATCCCAGATGTCTGAGAGGCTGAGGCAGAAGGATCATAAGTTGGAGGTCAACCTAGTCAATTTATGGAGACCCTAAGACCCTATCTCAGAATAAAATAAAAATGGCAGCTGCAGGGAGGTAGAGCTTAATGGTAGGTCATGTCGGCATCAATCCCCAGTACTGCAAAAAACAAACACAAAACTCATGCTTGGTGGTAGAAATGGGTCTTAAGGGAATAGTTGCTTGGAAACCATTAGAACCATCCTCTGAGCATCCCAGGTTTCCCCTTATCAACCTTCATGGGAGAGAAAGTAGCTCTTCTCCATGTGTGTTTTACTGGGGGACCTGGAACCAAACTCTGAAACTTGGGGGGGCTAATGTTGTTATTTAGTCAGTGCACAAATCCCAGATCAGCTGGAGACCTTTTTTCCTTGTCCTTCAGCAAGTGCAAAGAGAGACTGAGTTGTTCATGAACTTGTCTCAGATTATCTTCCTGAATTTGTTTTTATTATTTTTGAGTTGAGGTTAATTCATATAGTATAAATTCATTGTTTTAAAATTATAATTCAGTGATTTTTAATATACACCAAAGTTGTGCAACTGTTAGTACTATTATTTAATTTGAGAACATTTTCATTACTCCAGAAATAAAATAAAATAAAATCCATACCTGCTTGTAGTCACTTCTAATCCCTACCCCAGGAATAACCATTCTTCTCTTCTGTCTCTGTGTCTGACTACTCTGGATATTTTCTTTAGATGTGATACAATATCACATGCAATATTGTCTTTTCTTCTTATCACAAAGTTTTCAGGGTTTATCCATATTGTAACATGGAATCAGCATGTCATTTATTTTTTGGCAGAATAGTATTTCATCATTTAGATACATATACCATATTTTCTTTATCGTTTGATGTATCATTTTGTATTAGTTTATGGAAATTGGAGTTATTTTCACGTTTTATCTACTATGAGTAATGTTGCTATGAACATTTGTATATGGATTTTTAGGTAAACCTGTTTTCAGTTCTGTCAGATATATACTTAGGAGTGGAATTGCTGGGCTTTGTGGGAACTCGACATTTTAACTTTTTGAGGAACTGCCGGACCATTTCCCATGGTGGCTGTACCATTTTACATCCAATTGACAGTGTATAAAGGTTCCAGTTTTCCACACCTGTGCCAACACTTGTTATTGTCTGCATTGATTCTAGCCATCCTACTGGATATGAAGTAGTACCTCATTGTGGTTTTGATTTGCATTTCCCTAATGATTAATAATGTCAAGCACCTTTTCATATGCTTATTGGATGTTTATATTTGCTTTGGAGAAATGTCTATTCAGATTATTTGCCATATATCTCCTAATATATATGTATTGGTGGTACTGGGGATTGAACCCAGGGCCTCATGTGGGCTAAGCTGCATTCACATTCTACTACCAAGTACATCCAGCTCCAGTTACCAATTTTAAAATTCAGTAGTCGTCTTATAGAGCTCTGAGAGTTTTATATATTCCAGACACTAGATCCTTATTGGATCTGTGATTTGCAAATATTTTCTCCCATCCTGTAGGTTGCTTTTCACTTTGTTGATAGTGTCCTTTGAGGCACAAAAGTTCTTACTTTGATGGAGTCCCACTTATTTATTTCTCCTTTTGCTGCTCATACTTTTCGTGTAATATTAATGTTTAGGAAACTTGCCTGATCCAGGGTTGTAAAAATTTACACTTATATTTTCTTCTAAGAATTTTAATTTTTCAGCTCCTACATTTATGGTTGTGATTTCTTTCAAGTTAATTTTGTATGTGGTGTGAGGTAGGAGCCTAACTCCATTATTTTGCATGTAAATAATCTTGTCGTCTTAGCATCACTTGTTGAAAGGAGTGTTTTCTTATTGAATGGTCTTGGTATTCTTGTTGACAGTCAACTGTACATAGATATATGCTTTATTTCTGGATTCTTGGTCTATATTGTCAATTCTAATGCCAGTACCACACTGGCTTGATTACTGTAGCTTTGTATTTAGTTTTGAAATAGGTAAATGTGAGTCCTAAATTTTTTTACTTTTTTAAGGTTTTTCTGGTCAAAGTCTCTTGCTTTTTAATTATTTTTGTTATACTGTAACTTGAATAAGAACAAACAAAAAATAATCTAAACCCCTTGTGCTTATACAACTATAAAACTAAGACAAAGTTACAAGTTAAATATTAACATATTTACAAAACTTATAGCATTCACATTAACACAATTTAATGCAATAGATGAGTTTTTCTTTGAAATGAAGTTGCATCTTTTAAGGTGAATATGGCGTTGGCAGTGGTCTCATGGGGGTTAGCAAGCCTATGCTGTTGTATGCCGAGTGTCAGTGTACCTTTTACTGTATGCTTTCTATTTGAACCCCTAGGAAGCTTACCTTTATATAACTTATTGTTATATATTGTGACATCATTTATCTTCATCTGATATGTGATATGTGATTCATATTTTTCACATTTTATTATGAACATTTTTGTGTGAACATAATGGTTACCCATCACCTAGATCCTACTATTTGCATTTGGCTATAATTGCTTTGTATGGTTTACATTTTAAGTTTTTCCCTCTTCTAATTGGCTCACTAAATACAACAGTTTCTCTGTTGCTATAACTGAGTACCATACACAGAGTAGTTTATAAAGAATAAAACTTTATAAGACTTATTGTTTTGATGGTTGGGAAATTCATCATTGGGCCGCTGTATCTGGTCAGGTTCTTCTTGCTCATGGGGACCGTTGAGTCCCAGGGTAGTGCAGGGCACCGCGTGGCAAGACAGAACATCCCTGCTCAGGCCTCTTCTCCTCTACTTCTCAGGAAGCCACAGCCCCATAGGATTAGGGACCCACCCTGGTGGCCTCAGCTAACCTAGTTACCCTCCAGAGGTCTCATCTCCAAATACCATGGTCAAATTAAGTTCCCATGCTCTTAACTCCACAGTAGGGATTAAATTTCAACATGAGTTTTGGTAGAAATATTTAAACCATCATTAAATGTGAGCAAAAATATGCCTATTCTAAATTTTTGATTGCCATCAAAATAAAAATACTAAGAATTCTTATGGGGAATTTATAGATTTGTAGACTAGAGAAACTGATACAGTTCAGTACTCTGTTTTGAAGCTTGATTTCTGTACGTTGAGAAAGGGTGGTCTGTAGCTTTATAGTTAGTTTTGAAATAGGTAAATGTGAGTCCTAAAACTTTTTTACTTTTTTAAGGTTTTTCTGGTCAAGGTCTCTTGCAAGTTTCTGACTTGTGCCAAGGATCTTAATTTGGCATGTTTTTATAGCACGAATATGAACAACTATTGTAAGTAGAAAGGTTACTCCTCTGATTGATGCTTCTGTGAGCATTTACTAAATTAGTTATGTGATTAAACAAAAAAAAATTACCCTTTTTCCCTTTTTTTCCTGGAGTTCTGGAAATTATTTAATTCAGTTCATGGCGAAGCTTTATGGAAGGCCTATTTGAACCAACTCTTGGGCTCAACAAGGTGAAGGAAGTTAGCTTGTTCCCCAGGGGACATTTGGCAGTGTATACACAGTTTTGATTGTCACCACTGAGGACTGTGTATGCCAAGGGACCCTGAGGCCCCCGTTTCCATGACTTGTTGGGGGATCCGGCGACTCGGTGTGTGGCTGTGCTGGTGGCGTGGGTGCTCTCTGCTGCAGGGGTGAAACTCAGACCCCCAGCAGGAAGCAGGTGGTCAGCACGAACCATCTGCTTTGCACGGTTTGCTCGTCGAGAGCCTCTCACCAGTTCAGAGGATGATGGGGACCTTCCCCGAATCCAGGTTCCCAGAAGCCAGTCAAGGAGCCAGTCTTAGAAGCAAGTCTTTCAAAGGACAGAAACTAGACTTATGACATTGGCTCTTTTGCACAGTCCCCCCCTCCCACCAGAGCAAGTGAGTGCCAGCGTTGGTGTGGTACAGCTGAGAAACCCCGGAGAGGCAGTGGGCATGAGCATCCGTCTGTCGGGGGCTCGGCTGCCTCTGGCCTGCCTTAGGTACAGCTTTCTTGAGACCGCTTATTCTGTTTGCTGCTGTAATCCAGCTCTGTTCTATTGGTTTAGGACTCTTAATTCCCTCCAGATTTAATCCAGGGAAGAAAATGCTGAGAAGATTTAGTCAAAACAAAAAGGAGAACAGACTACTTGGAGCAATAAAGATCATTTTCAAATAATTAATGTCAGAGACTTAAACTGTTATATTGGTGGTATTTTCCTAGTAATTTGAACTCTAGTTTATATGTATAGATATACTGAATTTAAGATCTTTAACTAGATCACTGAAGGTTTCAGTTAGTGTGTAAAGTTCTGTGGTTCAGTCGCTGGGTAAGGAACCTGGTGCAGTGTCAGTGGAGGGCTGTGTGTGTAGCGGGGCTCGTGGGCACCACCCTCCACTGTGGCCCAGGGCTGGGTCTCTGGCCTGTGTCCAGTCTGGCAGCAGAGGCATTGCTTTCATAGAGAACCCCTGTCCCCCAAACAAAGGACAACCACAGTAGGTAAAGACACGTCTTCCAGGAACCTGGGCCAGGGCAGGGTGGCTTTGCTGCCCTACGTGAGAGTTGCTTTCTGAGGGAATTCCCACACCTCCCGAGGTTACAGGAGGAGTGAGGGGAGGGAGGGCTGTTTTTGTTTTTATTTTAAATCTCTCCCAGTAGTTTTTCAATGGGAAGCCGAGGATTGTTGCTATTGATAGCTTCTTCTCACAGCTGTGTTGGCCCCAGCTGGAATTCTTGTCATTTTCCTTCTAAAAGCAACTGAATTGGGAGTTTACCTCCATTACTATTGAGGGCAACTTCAAGTTCTCAGCATGATTTTACTTAAATTTAGATATCAGGCTGCTGGGAGGAAACATGAAAGGCGTAGCTAATAATTTTAGTCTTTGAAAGAAAAACAAATCCACCTTTAAATTTCGTTTGCTTAAAACCAAAATGAGCATACCCCCTCAAGCTGCCTATCGGGTCAGGGAGGGCCAGTAGGAGGGCAGCAGGGGAACACGGTCAGCCTCTTGTTCACATTTGTACGTCCGTGTGGGAGACAGAGTCCCGTGGAGTGGGGATCCCGTGCTCCTGGTAACAGCGTCTGGAACAGAACTTTGTTTCTTAACAGTGAAATCTAACTCTGTGTCTGTCTCCTCAAGAGTTGCTTTGGGCAGTGCACACAGACATCTCTGTGTTCCGGAATCTATGTAGGTGGATCTTTGTGTCTGTGCATCTGAAAGTCGTGCATCTGAAACTGGTGTTGGCACCGCCAGTTCTGTCCAGCACTGCAAGGTCTTCTGGTCTTCTCTGATTGCATATTGGTTGCTCCCTTCTCTGGCTCCCGTCATCCTCAGTGTCTTTATGGGGACTGATGGACCTTTCCATGTCTTTCCATGTTTGTACATAATCAGGCGTTGCTGCCACCGCTTCATGCTGCACAAGTCCTCCTCACCTGCCCAGACTCTCTCCCATGCTGCACTTCACTACTGTCCCCCCACCCTGCTCCACCTTCCTCATGCTTCTCAGTTCTAGCTCTGGAGTGATGCTACCATTGCTGTCATCCTTCTGCCACCTGGGCACTTTTGCAGCCTGCCCAGGCTTTGGCACTGTCTGGGCTGCCCACCTGCCCTCCTAACCACATCCCTTGCTGGGTGGCCACCACAGCTATCCCATTGCCAGTCCCTAGTGTAGAAGGCCTGCTCTCCCTTCTTGGGCTCTGATGCCCTGTGCCAGGCCATGCACTGGTCTCTAGTAAGTAGAAGCTCTCGCCTCACTCTGGTTTCAACATTTCAGGTGCGCTGTCTCCTTCACCATCCCTGCCATGCAGAAAAGGGACCAGTCTGTACAACTAACACAAGCTGTCTCCCTGACGAGCCTTCCAGAGCTTTCTTCTCTCCACCTTATCCTCAACCTCTGGATCTCAGCCCACCTAGGACAGCTCTGTCAAGTACAACTTTATTCGAAGAAAGATGGCCTGTATTTGTGTTTTCAGTTCGCCACCAGCCACACATGGCTATCGAGTACTGGAAATACAGCTAGAGTGCCTGAGGAACTGGATTTTAAATTTTATTTAATTTTCATTAAGCCTAAGTGGCTGCCAATAGCTGATTTCTCCTAGACAGTGAAGTTCTAGCAAATCTGCTGGCCCTGTTCTGTCCTAACTGTAATGTGGGAAATGCCCTTTTGCTCTTAGTTCAGCTGAACAAAGAAATTGCCAAAAGAGAGAGTCTGGGGGGGGGGCGGTCACAGAGCTGGCTGTGGAGGATGCCGTGCCCCTCTCTGGGCTTATTTAGTGGCTCTGCCTGGTCGGCAGGTGTTCACCTTCCTTACCTATTGCTTGGTGACCCCTGCCCTGGAGCTTCATGCTCTAGGAAGGAAACTGACCTCCTCAGCTGGAGAGGGTCTCTTCTTTGGTTGTGGGTTTCTATGATAAGGCTCTCCTCAGCTGGAGGCTTCAAATAAATATAAGAAAGTAAGGGGAGAAAAGCAAGCAAGCAAAATGGAGATGAGTTCACAACCCGCAGGCTTTTGGTTCTTCCTGAAGCATGGTGTCATCCCGGCTTGCCTGATGGTGCTGCCCATGACACGCAGAGCCCTGGTGTTTCTCTGGGCCTGAGCCGTTTGGACTAGATGTAAGCGATGCTGCTTGCGGGTCCCGTGGTGTTTCATTTCTTCCTGGACCTGCTGTATACGTGTCTTCTCTTTGGTGGTGATTTCTGGTAGTTCCTCTTCATGCCCTGGACTTTGGCACTGTCTGGGCTGCCCACCTACCTTCCAGGAAGTAATTACTTTCCATCTTCTCCCCAAAATCTTTCCCTTGACTTCAGACTTACTAACTTACTTTGTGTTCACTGTTATTTATTTATTTGAGGTTCAGTCCTACCTGTTGCCCAGGCTGGCCTTGAGCTCCTGGTTTCAAGTGATCTTCCTGACTCGGCCTCCTGATTAGCTGGAACAACAGTTGTGTGCCACTGTGCCTGGCTTTTATGTTCATATTTCTGTCTCTTATGGAGGTCTACATAGCATTAGTCTCTTAGAAATCCTTTTTGCCCTCCATTTCCTTTTAAGCATCGTTGGACACCCATGCTTTGGGAATATAGATTTTTCTGCTTCTAATTTTCAACTTCCATTACTGTCCTTGTGGCCTTGACATTGGGGATTCTTTCCTTGGAGCCTCTGCCTGGTGTAGGGATGCCGTTCCACTGTGCTGCCCGTAGAGTAGAATCCCCCACCTCCCTGTTTGAAGAATGCAGCCAACTCTCAGTTTCTTTTCAGAGTCGAGAGTCAGATTTAACTAATGATAACATTTTGATGTTCTTTCCAAATAACCAGTCAGTCAGCTTCTGTTCTCTGCACACAAATGTATTCATAGCATGGGTTCCAGGCATGTACTCATAGAGTGCTGTCTAGGCTTGGCATATAATGAGCACTTCCTTACAGCACTGAGAACTTTCCCAAAAAACTTTTATGATTACATACTATTTCAGAATGTGAACAAATAATACCTTATCTTCTTCCAGTATGTAATATTTTAAATATTCAGTAATGCCACAGAGTATGATTTCCAAAAGACAAAAATCAGTGGATATCAAGATTGGTAAGCCAGCACTTGTTGCTGTGAGTTGAATATCAAAGTTTGTTTAACCTTGACTGACATACCAACTGCAGGTTTCCAGTCACCTTCTCTTCTCTTTGTAGTCCTCGGCGATACTTCCTCCTGTCCTCTCAGATGGCTGTCCATCCCGAATACAGAGAGGACCTAGACGCTCTGCAGGCCAAACATGGAGGGTCGGTGTTGGTGCTGGATAAGTGCAGCAACCTCTCAGAGGGCGCCCTTTCTGTCCGCAAGCGCTGCCACAAGCACCAGGTCTTCGATTACCCGCAGGTGCTGCAGGTGAGTGTTGTTCATGACCTCTATTGGGCTCAGGAGAAGTCACTTCCCGGGGCTGCAGCTGATCCTAGCAAACAGAAGTTGTTTGTTTTCCACATGCAACTAGGAACATTACCCAAAGGGAGAAGAAAATGGAGTATTGCTCTTTGCCATGAACTTAGACCTCCAGGTGCCGGGGTGTATGGTGTACTGTGTTCATAGGAAGCTTGGTCTGTGACAGTTCAGGCTCCTTTCAGATACTCACTGTATTTCACCAGTGCAAATCTGGTAGATGTACAGGAAGCCACATGGACAAAGCAGGCAGGTGCGTTTGCTCTTACCTCTGTGTTCCTGGGCCATCTAGAGACATCCTTCTTTAAGGTGGCAACTTGCTTTGCCGGCCCTGCTAGCCCACAAGACTGCAGTCAGCTATCCCTGGGAGTGCAGGGTTTTGGGGGTTGTTTTCATTTTGGTTTTGGTGTTTACTTCAATCGTGTGTACCTCCACAGACAAAGGCAAACCATCCCTTTAGGGGTGTCTTAGAGGTGAGTGTTTAGCATCCAAGGGCACAGGGGCTGGGGAAGGAGAATATGAGCCTCGTTCATGTAAATATTCAAAATTCAGAATTGTTCAGGAGAAATATCAAGGAGCTAGTGTGATTTTTTTTTTTTTAAATCTCCCGAGAGTGGGCCCATGCTGAGATTGTTAAAATATTTTCTCTCAAGAAACGTGGCCTCTTCCTCTGGAATGTCTGACTGATAACAGTGGTGATGTGAGCAGGAGTAGTTTAGTAACCCTGTCTAGACAGAAGTGGTTATCACACTTGTGTCCACATGTGGGCGCCACTCGGGCGGCGAGCCTTCCACCTGCAGCTCCAGGTGCTGCCGTCTTGCTCCATCTCCCTCTCTCCTCTCTTCTTTCGTTTCTGAACTTTCCTTTTCTCTAGAGATTAGATGATGTTTTACTTTTCAACATTTTTTTTTTCTCTGAAGAGGTACAACCTGGGAGAAACTGAGTGTTCGGGAAGGAATTGTCCCTTATTCTGGTCCCCAGCTGTCTTTCCTCTGTTCCTCTCTCATTTTCCCAAGCACTCCCACATGTGGGGAGGCATTTAAGGGAGGGAGTGAAGAAGAGATTTTTTTCTTGACATCTTTCTTTCGTTGGGTTCATTGTTTCTAGACAAAACGTGTCTGTCTTCATGTCTTTTCAAAGGCATTGCATTCCTAATTGAATGTCTTCTGCGTGCAGACACTGCTAGAAGCCCTGGGAGTAGGAAGATGAGTGGCGATTCCATCTCTCCCTTTAGGTGCTCCTCCAAAGGGCCCTGTGTTCCCCGGCAAGGGGGGTGTGGTAAGCACTGTAAGCCGTGTCAGCAGTGGCCCTGGCGTGCTCACGCAGTCCACCAGTGCTAAGGGAAGCTAGGCTGCAGGAGCTCATGAGGTGGCCTATGCCGAGGAAGACTCTGGTTGGCTTTGAACCCGTGCAGAACACCAGTTCAGACGTCATTTAAATGACACTGCAGAGTGGCAACATAAAGGCTCACATTAAGCTTGTCAATGTTTGATGTGTGTGAACTATGGTCTTGGTCTTTTCTGAATCTAGGTGCCTCGGTGTCGCTTGGTTTTACGCCTTGAGGGGGCTCATGGTTCGAGGGATGGCAAGGCTGGTTGGTAATCCCTACCCTCTGCTTGTGCTCTTGTAGGAGGCTACTTTCTGTGTGGTCCTTCGTGGTGCTCGGCTGGGCCAGGCCGTGTTGAGTGACGTGCTCCAGGCTGGCTGTGTCCCCGTAGTCATTGCCGACTCCTATGTTCTGCCTTTCTCTGAAGTTCTGGACTGGAAGAGGTGGGTATTTCTGTCTCGTCAACTTTAGCTGGTAGGTCTGCAAGCAGTAGAAATCAGCAGCCCCTTGGTGACTGTAATGTGTACCTAGGCTGGAGAACGACAGGGCGAGCATCTGTAATCTGAAAATGCAAAATCAGATATGCTCCAAAATTGGAAATTTTCTGAGCACTGTCATGATGCCACCAGTGGAAAATTCCACCTCATATGATAGGTCCCGGTCAAAATGCAGGTGTACTGTGCAGTTACCTTCAGTTCACGAATGTAGGTTGTATATGAGGCCTAAATGAATTTCTTGTTCAGTCATGGGTCCTGTCCCCAAGATGTCTCATTGTGTATGCAAATATTCTAAAATCTGAAAACATTCAAAATCTTAAGTACCTGGTCTAGCTTTTTGAATAAGTCATGGCCCACCTGTATTCCTTTGGTCTGTTCTGTTGTATTTTCCATCTGGAGACTTAGCACATTGGCTTAGAGCAGTTCATAGATTGAGGCCTCTGGCCCAAATTTGCAGGATGGCTATTTCTGTAAGTAAAATTTGATTGAAACTGTTGTCATGTTACTTGAGTGATTGCACAGAGACTGTGCAGCTTACCAAACTATTTGGCCCTTTCCATAAAGCAGTTCTCAGCTCCTAGCCCAGAGCAGTAGTTTTCAGCTGATAGGGGAGTAGGCTCACCTGAGAGGAGGAGGAGTTGTTGTTGTTGTTTGTTATTTTATGGCACTGGGGGTTGAGCCCAGGACCTTATGCATGCTAAGCAGTCTCTCTTCCATGAACTACATCCTCCCTATTTGAGATAGGGTCTTGCTAAGTTGCCCAGGATGGCCTCAAACTTGTGATTAGAGAGCCTCAGCCTCCCAAGTCACTGGGATTACAGGTGTGTGCCACCACTTCTGGCCCTATCCTTGGGGATTCTGAATTTTAAAACCACCCTTAACCTGATTTGTGGCCTCCACAGACTGCCATGGCTACAGAATTTCTGTTGAATTTGTACAATGTACTGGCCAGTTTTGCAGAGCCTCTGCCTGGGGGTATACTTAGAAACATCCCCAGGGATAAGTACAACCGGGATCCTGCCTTGTGCTATTCCTGGACTTGCCCACTGTTCTCAGCTTTATTTCCCTGAGACTTTGGTGGTTTGTGTTGCAAACTGATTCCTTAGTTGTGTCCCTCTCAGTCTTGCCCTTGCCTCAGATGCTTGACTGCTGTCTTTATCTCATGGCTTTTTTGATTTTTATCCAAGTCTGATCTCCCCAGGTATTTGAACAATTTAAATAGCACTATTTCATTCGTTTGGTTATTCATCCCATATTTATTGAAAGCCTATTGTGAATAACACAGTTTCTGCTTCTGAAGAGACAAGGACCTGGGGGTGGGGTGGGGTGGGAAGGCAAACCATTGATTAAGGTTGAATATCCCTTGAGCATTCCTTATCGGAAATGCTAGGCACCCAAAGTGTTTCAGGTTTTAGTACATTGGCATACACATAACAAGATATCTTGGGGAAGAGACCCAGATCTAAACATGAAATTCATTGAGTTTTTTGTTTGTTTGTTTGGGTATGGGGGATTGAGCTCAGGGACACTTGATCACTGAGCCCCATCCCCAGCCCTATTTTGTATTTGATTTAGAGACAGGGGCTCACTGAGTTGCTTAGCGCCTTGCTTTTTTGCTTTGAACTTTCTATCCTCCTGCCTCAGCCTCCCGAGCTGCTAGGATCACAGGTGTGCTCCACTGCACCTGGCTCACTGATGTTTTATAATCTACCTTATGGCCTGAAGGAAATGTCATACATGATTTTGTGCATGAAACAGTTTCACAGTGTGGAATTTTCTACTTGTGGCATCATGTTGGCACTCCAGAGTTTTCAGATTTTGGAGCATTTTGGATTTTGGACATTTGTATGAGGGATGCGCAACCTGCCCAGCTTTCTGTGATGAATGCCATGGCAGATGTATGCACAGGGGCTGTGAAAACCCAGAAAAAGGAAGAATGTACGGTTATTCACTATATTGTAGAGAAGCGATAAGCTACTTCTAGCATTTAACTGCCTATGAAAACATTTATTGAGCACCTTTTATTTGCCAGGCATTGTTAGGAACACAGATACCAGAATGTGCAAGGTCAAACCTTTGCTCCCAGAAGCTCATGGTTTTTAGTAGTGGAAGACAAACAACTATGCCAGCAATTACCAAAACTGTGACATGACATAGCCCTGGTAGGACGGGATGCTAGAAAAGGAGGTAGCCATTGTTGGCGGTGGGTCAGTGAGGGCTTCTCAGAGCTGGTGATTTGAGCTGGGCATGAACGCCCATTTCTATGAGAATAGACCTGCTTGGGTAGTTGTGATTATGGATAAGTGGTGGAAAGGCCTAGGTTTAAGTCAGATAACCGGCTCTGTTACTGGCTAGCATGTGACTGTGGTCAATTGTTTACTCTTTTTTGAGCCTCAGTTGTCCCATCTGTATAGTAGAAATGGTTGACATGTTTAATAAATGCTTATCACATGGTTACTGCTAGGCAACCTGCCAGGTGCTTGGGCCGTGGGCAGAAATGGGTTAGATTTTAATTAACTTACACAAGCATAACTCTACTCAACGTCCTGCAGGCGGTAGTGGAGTCCTCCTTTCCCCTGTCACCGTGACTCATCCTGAGCACGGCCCTGCCCTTCCCTCACCAGCTCTCCCCTGTCCTCATACCTTGCCAGCTTCTGCAGGGGTCCTGGAGGTCTCCCTGCTCCTGAGCTTGCTTCCTGTAGTTTTTCTGACACTGTAGACCGCACAGTCCTGTGGGAGCATAATCACGCTTGCCGGGCCTTTGCTTAACACCTCCTGGTGGTTTCCATTTGACAGTACCCTGTCCTTATTTGCTTTGCTGTGACCTCCCTCTCGTCTCTCCTTGGCTCCTGGTGTTCTCCATCCTGTTTACTCTACTCTGGCCGTGGTGGCTTGCTTGCTTGCTTGCTGTTCTGGGAACATAACTGATGTGATGCTTCCTGCTTAGTCCTGCCTGGAGCATTCTTCCCTTGGCATTCCCGTGGCCTGTTTACCACCTCTCCTTCCTTGACTGATTTGTCCTGTTGTGTTCCCAGTGTCCAGCACATAGTAGGTCCTCTATAAATAAATGCTGAATAAGTGAGTGGATTTTCATAGACAGCTTAAGGGGGAAGGCAATACAGTTAATGCAGGGAGCACAAAGGAAAGTGGAAAGTAGTGTGCCTGGGAGGTGGGATTCACATGCACAAGCCCCGTGGTAGGGCAGAGTGTGGTGTGAAGTGACTGAGAGAATACCAGTGTGACGGGGCCCACGGTGGGGTGGAGGGAGGAATGAGAGCTGCTGAGAGCTCCCCAGAGAAGGCTGGTCAGGAGGAGGGATGGGGAGAGGACCTCCCTGTCCGGATGTGGCTGAAGCAGGCTCGGGTGTTGTTTCTGCTCATACGAATGAAACAAGACTTTCTGTAAGAGAGCTTTCCGTGGAGGGTGATGTGTGCACACTGCTTCTCTGTTGTGTCCAGAGCGTCTGTGGTGGTTCCCGAAGAAAAGATGTCAGACGTGTTCAGCATTCTGCAGAGCATCCCACAAAGACAGATTGAGGAAATGCAGAGACAGGTGAGAGCCCAAGGCCAACAGCCCCGTGGGGAGGAGGCAGGGTGGGGATGACATGCTGGACGCGGTTCTTGGACACAGGGACAGCAGTCAAATGCCAGAGTGGGGTTTGTCTCTTCCCTGTGTCAGCTCACCAAACCTAAATGATAGGAGAGCAGGGCCGGGCGAGTTGCGTCAAGTAAGGTTCAAAATGTTAACTGTCTGGGATGTTCAGGCTCCACTAGGGGAAGCCTGTTGTGGTTCAGGGATGCCAAGTCGAAGCCTTCGGGAAGAAGGTTCACAGTCACAGCAGGTGATGCTGCTCATGACTGAGACAGGGAGTCTGGCCGCTCCAGGCAGTGCTTCTGCGTGGCTGTGACGTGACGGTGGTGCTGTGTACATGACCTCGCTTCCTGGGTCAGCGGCCTTGGTGACAATGCTCCCTTCTGCCTGGTGGAGCATTCGCCCTTCTCCGCCTTTCTCTCCAGACTTTTCCTTGGGTGGCTCTGACTGCCTCAAGGACTCCTCTGGGCTGCCCGGTGAGTCCTCCTGGTCTTTCCTTCTCTTAGAGTAAATCTTACTGGGATTAGAAATTTAAAAGTCTATCCCCAAATTGGTAATATATTTGTTTTTTTCTGTTTCCTTTTTTTTTAAAAAAAAAATCTAACTTTTTTGTATCTTTGTTTATTTTTATGTGGTGCTGAGGATCGAACCCAGTGCCTCACATGTGCGAGGTGGGCGCTGTACCACTGAGCTACAGCCCCAGCTCTGTTTCCTTTTTTAAAAATAGATTTTTAAAACCTTTTTATTGTTGTCACATCTCTGCAGGAGACGGCAGGGGAAGAGCCCGGAGTGCTCTGGGCACGCATCCTTGGGTTCAGCTTGGCTCCCCCATCCCCTTGTTCAGCTCGGCTCCACTTCCTTGGGGGCCTGCAGTTACCCTGGCCAGAAAAGGGGCCTCAGGCTTCTGAGTGAGGGGGACAGTCACCTGCTGTGCCCTGAGGAGGCTCTGGGTTGCGGTGCTGCACTGTTGGCAGGCTACCCTGCCCCCCTGGGCCTGAGTGTTGGTGACCACTCCTCCCTCCCTCAGCTCCCACACTTGTTGCTTTGGTCTCATCTCCCATTCTTTTACATAGGGCCACACAGCATGGAGGGAGAAGGTAGTGGAACAAATCCGCTCATTTGATGGCTGGGAAGCTGGAGGTGGGGAGAGGGAGGGTGAGGGGGAAGGGACCAGGTCCCTTTTATAGTACACCCAACAACCTGGAGACTCTCACTAGGATCCGCCTCTTAAAGGTCCTACCACCCCTAGAATCACCATTTGGGAGTCGAGCCCTCTATACGTGGGCCCTGGGACATTTATCCAAAGTACAGAAATACCAAACTTCCTATCACACAGTAATTAAGTCTGTAGGTTCTTAGATTGTCTGTGTTGAATGCCAGCTCTGCTGGATGCAAGCTGTGTGCCCTTGGGCAAGGATCTACCTACTCAGAGCCTCAGAAACCTCATCTGTGAAACATTTTGGCATTTTTTTTTTTTGTACCAAGGATTGAACTCAGAGACACTTGGGCATTGAGCCACATCCCCAGACCTATTTTATATTTTATGTAGAGGTAGGATCTCACTGAGTTGCTTAGGGCCTTACTAAGGTGCCAAGGCTGGTGTGAACTCTCAGTCCTCCTGCCTCAGCCTCCTAAGCCTCTTGGATTACTGGTGATGCCACTGAGCACAGCCAACATGTCGGCATGATTGGAAAACAGTCCAATGATGAGCTTCCCTGCTGGCTGTGTCACAGTGTGCTCATGTTTACTTTAAGTTTTTGGGCTTCCCCCTGTTGCTTAACTACTGACATCATTAGGATTATAAAATCACTTTTGAGATCTCTAGATTTTTATTCTGAACCTGTGGTTCTTAAAACTGATGTAGAGGAGAATACCCTTTGAAGCATCAGGGTGTTTGTACTCCTTGTGTTACGTTTTGTGGCATCTGTATTTATGAACAAAACTAATTATAGAATCACATGCTGAATCATATTCCATAAGAACAAACTGGGGAGGTAAAATTGAGCAGTTCCTGTACATTTACCTCTCTTCCCCACCACCCTACCAGTCCTTCTGGTTGAGAAAGAGTCATTGATTTTCAGACCAGCTCACCGAATACAGTTGTTCTGCAGGAACTAGAGGCCTGAGGCCAGCCTCCGGTCATTTCAGTGGTGGGCTCAGAGTCATGAACTGTTGAGATGGAATGAATGCAATCATTAAAAACAGGGTGCTGTACACTCTGTGGGTTCCAAGAGACACACTTGGAGTCAGAGGACTTGGGCTGGAGCCCTGGCTCTGTCCCTATTAATTACATGACCATGGTAAATCACCCATGCTGCTAGGCTCTCATTTTCTTATTTATGAAATGAAGGGCTTGGCTAAATTATCCCTCATGTTCCTTGGAGCTATTTAAGAACTCCACGAAACTCCTGTCCCAGCAAGACCGTTGCTCTCCCTGAACAGCTCAGTAGTCATCTCTTCTCCCCCAAACACCTCTGTTAACAAGGGGTAGTTCCTTCTCTGGTGGCGGACACCCTGCGCTATGCCATCTTACACAGGAGGGCTTCCCGGGCCCTCTTTCCTGGTGCTGCTATCTGACTGTCCACAGTTCTCCATTGGTGCCCTGTTGGTTTGCTTCCCTTTCTCTAGTATTCTGTGATCCCAGACTGACCTCTTTTCCCTTCCAACCCTACATTCCTAGACTGCACTGATAGCAGCTAGCTGTGAGATGATCTGGTTGAAGTAATTCCCAGTTAGGTATCAAGGATGACTGGGTTCAAGTGCTTCTAGATACCAACAGCATCTTCCCCTCTCCCAAGCTGTGACAGCTAAAAATGTCTCTAGACATTGCCAGAAGTCCTCCTTGGGGTCAGGGGAACAAAATTCCTTTAATTGAAAACCACTATACTATTGATAATGTGTCACCTGTAAGATCAGAGAGTGCGTTAGTCAGCTTTGTGTCACTGCAGTGGAGTACCTGAGCAATTAACTTATCAAGAGAAAGGGCTTTTTTAGCTCACAGTTTGGAGGTTCAGATCCAAGATCTGGCAGCCCCCTGGTGTGGCCTCTGATGAGGGCAGTAGATGGCAATGGCAGAAGCACTTGGAGTGAGTGGTCACTCCACTAGTCGGGAAGCAGAGAAAGAGAGGACGGGTCAGGGCCTATGAGCCCCTTTGAGGGCACACTCCCAGTGATTTCCCTCCCCTGAGGCTCCGCAGCATCTCCCGTGCTGCCTGCCCTGAGACCTTTCCCTGCGGACCTTTAGGGGACTACAGTAAAGAGAGTGAAGGTTCTTTTTGTTCTGTAACAAAATATGCTGTTTCTAAACTATGCTTGTCATTTTGCCTTCTGTTTACCTTCCATCTGTTTAACTTGACCTTGGCAGGAGTAAGTAAAAAAATAGTCTCCACCTGATTCTGAAAAACTGCTGAATCTTAGTGAGTTCTCTTAAGGAAGGACAGATTTGGGCCATCTTGTAAGACAGGCATGAACCTTTTGAGACACCTGAGGCTGATAGCTTAATGCTCCTAGGTGATTGCCAGAATGAACTGAGGCTGAGGAAGCAGGCCCTAAGGGAGCTGCATGGACAGCTGTCACCAGCAGAGGTCTCCATCCACTTTTAGGTGACTCATTTCAGTGTTTGAGTCTTTCCAAGAAGTCCCAAATGCCCTGAGCTGCTATTCTTCATAGGAGTGTCAACCTCTTTGCTGCTCAGTGAAGAAGAAACAGTGCTCAGCTCAGGGGTTTGTACTCCCTGGATGAGAGAGAGAATGAGTTTCTGAATCAGTCCAGAATTGTGGGGTGGGATCTTGGTGAGAAAGGTATTGCAACAATAGTCTGCACCAAGTTTGGGGTCAGAAAGGCTGTAGTCGCCTGGTAGATACATGGCCCAGGTCCTTACTGAGCTGGGGAGTTCATTTGTTAAGGGAGAAGAACATTCTTCCTGACAAGGAAAAGAGTTAAATTTCCTCTTGACCTTAGCTGTGGTTGTGCAGCTCCCTGAGGTTAAACGTGAGGCTGGAGCTGCGAGCTCAGCGAGTGCCGTAGTTAGGTGAGCAGGTTGGAGGAAAGGGAACAGAGAAGAGTGTGTCTGGGAAACACTCCCGCAGGCCATCAGCCAGCAGTGTCCACACACAGGCACTGGACAGCCTTGAGGGGCTCACGAGGGTTTTGGGGTGAGTTAAACAGTTCCTTAAATCATTAGAGGATAGTAGTTATAACAATGTGAAGCTGACTTATTGGTTGCCCTTTATGAGCTAACTGGCTAGCCTAGCCAGTTGATTTTTTTGAAGGCCTAGGTGTTGTTTTCCTGGGGAGTATGGGTGATGGTAAGGAATCTGTGATTCCACCCACAATGAGGACTAGTCATCTGGAGGATACGGTACGCGCTCAGAGAAGGTTGACAGGATGACATGAGCTTTCTGCAGCATGTCAGGGGCTGAAGTGGGAGGAGGAGTCAGCTAACATCAGGACAGATGGATTGGAAGTAGCATCTGAGCAGGCTTAGGATGAGGCACTTTCTTACTCTGGAAGGCAGGAGGAGGTGTGCAAATAAACATTTCTCTATAGTCAAATGGCACGTACTTATCCCAGGCCCCTTGATCTACCAGAAAAGGCAGACAAGTGAGGGTCTTGGCAGGCTGGAGGGACTCAGGCTGTGTAGTTAGGAATGTCTGTGAGGTGGGAGGGAGGTGTAAGTGGATCCCCAGTTTATCTGTTGAGCAGAGTTTCCAAACATTCTTTTATTGGTCAGTGGCTCCACCAGCAGTGACCTCTCCCCTCAGCCACACTAGGAGGTGGAAGTCAGGAGCCTGCCTTGCCTTTGAACTCTTCTTTGTACTCAATTGGCTGGGAGCCTTTGAGGTGGCAGAAACATTCAGCATCTTCTCTCCTCTCCAGCCTTCACACACGGGTAAGTTAAAAGGCCACTTTCCCTTCAGCCTGTGACCCTGCCCCATCCCGCAGACCTTCAGGTTTTCCTG